TATTTTCAGGAACCTTGTAGTTTCTTCTACGTTTGTAAACAGCTCTAACCGCGCGAAGAAAACGAATCAACTCCTACCAGGGACAATGTTATCCAAAAAAATGCGACCCTCGTGACCAGCCTGGTTCAACGCTGCTTTGCTGCTTCGGTAGGAGTACCACCCACCTTCAAGGGTCCAATGTCGCATAGTCTCGGCATTGAAGCGCGGGGCTGCGAGAGGCTTGCAAATGACTCTCCAAAGGGGTTGCCCGTAACAGAGTTCACGACTGAAACTGCCTCAGATAAGTGTATCTTGCTAGCATAAGACATCACTGCCTGCAGGCACACTTTAGCGTTCCTCCCCACACCTGTGGCATTGTCACCAATAGAGCCCACACGGGCACTGTAGAAGACTGCAGTAGACCGCGGCAACGCAGAGTCCTCCTCGCCGCTTTGGGCGTCCGAAGCCTTTAGGAGCGGCGCGAAGTTCTTCAGAACCGCAAGAGGTCCCAACGTATTCCTCAATGCTTGGGTTGTAGGGTTTAGGATTTAGTTTTTTTAAGGGTTTAGGGTCTAAGGTTTATGGTTTGGGGCGTTGCTACCTCAAAGATTGGCTGCTAGGCAGGCATTGTACGAAACAGCTGTTACCTGAGCATTACCTTGCTACGATTTGGCCTTTTCCGTACGTAGCTTCTACAGCAACTTATGCTCTGGCAGCGTGGAGGGAGAAAAGCTCGCGCAGTTGGTAATACTGAGAAAGGCCTCTAAATTGTAGAATACTATGATGTAGTTATGCAGGGGTTAAAAGCGGATGCGATTCCTGAGTTATTCGCGCATCTCCCCATCCGATTCCCACGCCCTAGCCAAACTCTCATTGATCCTCACAATTTTGTTGGTGAATACACCCTCCAGCCCGAGTACCGCTTGTAACAGGGGTAATCCACCCCCACCCATTATTGCAACTCCCCACCCCACAGTGTTGAATCTTCCCATTGTGGTGTATTGCACTGTATTAGGAATGTTTACCATCAGGAGGATGGGGATGTTACTATCAGGGGAAACAAACATGGAAGCTGATAGGGCCTGCTTCTGAAAGGACACACATCTTTGTGGGGCACTCCATGTCTGGCATTTTAGGGCTTTTGGTTTCGTAGAGTTTAGGGTTTAGGGTTTAGGGTTCAGGTTAGGGTTTCGTTTGAGGGAATGTACCTGGAACTTAGAAACCGACTGTACCGGTTTCTGGGCTTGTAGATGCGAATGTTCGTTGCGAAACGCACAAGACATGGAGGCAGTACAGCAGGCGGCACCCTGCTAATAGATCAGAGTTGTGCAAAGATGTGGATACTCACAATCCAAAACCCCAAATCTACCCTCGCTGCAGAACCTGAGTCTGGACACCCTTAAACTTCTCAACTCTGTACAACCCTTGAACCCGATGTGGGGCAAGCATCTCGTTAGGATCTTTGAGGGTTTAGGGTTTAGAGCGCTGTTTCATGAAAGCTCCTCATCATGCTTTCGCTTCATACTTCGAAGTAAGGGCCCCCAAACCTTAAAGCCTAAACCCTGAAAAATAGACAGACACCCTCAGAAGGAGCCTCAGAATAGAATAAGAGAACCCAGGGCCTTCTTTGGGGAGGCCCCTTGGGAAAAAACCCAGCTTGGGCGTAGGGTTTGAGACAAGATCTAGGGGCTAGGGTTTAGGGGTTTAGGGGCTATGGTTCAGGGTTTAGGGGTCAGGGGTTTAGGGTTTAAGGTACACAGCAATGTCTGCCCGGGCTCACAGCAAAAGAGTAAGCTGTGGCGTCCAAGTCCACCCGATGCAGGCTATTTTCAGGGATCACGCCGCGCGACTTGTCTTGCCTGAGGTTGGGGTTTTGGGCTCCGGGTTGTGCAGTTGGAACCATGGGACCCTGGCATGGACCCATGCCACAAATCATTGATGCGCAAGAAAAAGGGACCCCTGAACTCTACACCATATCTTGGAGATTAGGATATGTAGGCTTTACGCCTTTTTTAGTGGTTTAGGAACGTTGCAACAAGAACGCCAGGACTTCAAGCACCCTGCTTCTCTCGAAAGAGGTCCGGAAGATTGTCGCTCAGTTCCCAGCAAATACAAGAAAACCCAAAACCCTGAACGCTAACCTCTAACCCCTGTCCCTAAAGTACGATCCCTAGTACACTTGTACACAAGGAGGACCTAAGTTACGGAAACCTCAAGTACTCCTTAGGGTCCAGGAGGCAGCAGCCCCGCAGTATGGCACAGAAGTTCCTTGGGCTTGCTGACTTGCTACGTGGTTGTTTAGGGTTTAGGGTTTAGGGTTTAGGGTTCAGGGTTTAGGGTTGCTTCCTTGACAGAGGGAGCCCTCTTGGACCTGAATATATAGCAAGTAGCGAAATCATGGTCCCTCGTTGGATCCCCATTATAATACGGCCAATCATACCTGGAATCAGGGAGATAACTGGGCTCATTATATGCTTATAGGGGCTATTAAGCTACTTACAAAATCCCCTGACCCTCCAAGTACTACTCCTCAAGCCCAAAACCTCTAGTTCGTCCGTCTTTGGAACTCCTTGAAACGGTTGGTGGCCTATAGGATCCTCATGCAACTGACGAAGGTAAAGCATCTTATACAGGTACCCAGGGATACCCCGCCTTAATTAGTCAAAAAAATAATGAATGAAACTACGTTCCCTGCTATGCTTCGGGGTACACGCCTTAACTCTTAATCCTACATCCTAAACCCTAATCTCCTAACCCTGAACCTAAACCCTACAACCTAAAACCCTAAACCCCCTGTTTCTCAATCCTTAAACCTACGCCCCAAACCCTAAAAGTCAAAATCTGGGCATCGAATCCGCCGACGCAGTTCAAACCCTAAACTCTAAACCCCAAAACCCTAAACCATAAAACCCTTAACCCTAAAAACCCTACAACCCCATATCCCTTACCCTAGGCCCTAAGCCCTTAACCCTAAAGCAGCAACCCAGTTGAGTCAAGCAATCCTCAAGGGGTTACGCCCCAGGTCCAATAGGCTGCCTCAGACCCGCCGCGGTCTTAGAATTATGCTAGGGTTCAGGGTTTTAGGGTTAAGGGTGTAGGGTTTTAGGGTTTAGGGTTTCAGAGTTTAGGGTTTGAGGGTTTAGGGTTTTAGGGTTTAGGGTTTTAGGGGCAAGGGTTTAGGTTTTTATTGTTTAGGGGTTTAGGGTTGTAGGGTTTTAGGGTTTAGAGTTTTAGGGTTTAGGGTTTTAGGGTTAGGGGTTTAGGGTTAGTTAGTTGGGCCGTCTGGCCTTGAGAAGGAATCATGAGATTGGGGGTATCCTTGAATCCCGTAAAATGTATCCTTCATTTGATAAGGCTGTGGTAAAGATGCTGTAAATAATTTGAAGGAGATCTTGTTAGACTTATTGCGTTGCCTTATGTTCAAAGTGTTCTTGTTTCAACCCTAAACCCTAGACCCTAAACTGCGCCCCAAGACAGTCTACCTTGAACTTGGGATAGCCGGGATGTCCTTGATGTCCTAGTTCTGTATTGCTTCAAAAGCAGGCTGGTCCAATGGAAATGTTGAGAACCGTATCAAGGAAATCTATTAAGAACGACAAAGCTATCTTGTTACCCAAATGACCTTTCTGTCAGTTCAGTCCAGGGCTTAATACTTAAATACATGCTTCAAACATGTTCGGGCTGGCAATAGAAATTTACTAGGTCCCCATGTCATTCGTTTCAATAACTCCAAGAAAACATCGATACTCCGGTGTCCGGTCGCAGGATTTCGTTGGTTCTTAACAGGAGGCGATTAACTGCCCAACCTCCGACATTTGGAAAGTTGGGCCGTGGGTGTCGCTTGGGGTGAGCGTTTAGGGTTTAGGGTGTGGGTGATCCCTGAATTTTGAGGTTTAGGGTTAGACGCGGAATTCGGCATTGGGGAAGGGTAGAAATCATCCTATGACCCTTGGACTTTGACACCGGGAAAAGGATTTAACGGTCAGGGGCACGTCAAGAAGAAAAACTGTAACTTTCAACACTCCACATGATCCTTTCATATCCGGCTTGCGATGACAAGGCCCTAAACCCGAAAGCCTGCACTGAGTATGTCGGTTGTCGTCTTGAGAGCACCAGACTAAGCCTAAATCATGCAGCACAACTGCTTTTGCGCACTGTCTGTCTAGCCTGGCCCCACGTGAGCTGGAGTCTAAACTTCCTGAAGGGGTATAATATAAAGGAATACATGGGGGACTCTTTTTAGGGGTTCTCAATGGGGGTACTAGGAGTTTGGATTATGCCCCAGGTGAAAATTGGACAGCTTGGGGATGCAAAGCGAATACTGAACATCCATGGACAGCAGACGGTTAAGGTTTAGGTTTTACGGCCGACCCTGAGGCTCCTAAGCTGGGCTTTATAGGGCTTAGGGTTTAGCGTTCAGGGTTTAGGGTTCGGGGTTTAGGGTTCTAGGCCTATCCCCTGAGGCTCCTGTTAAGGTTTTAGGGCGGGGCCTATGCACGTAATGGGCTTTCCGGGGGAAGGTTTGGGCTTTAGGGGCTTAAGGTTTGGGATCCCATGATGAGGGTCCAAAAGCCTTTGGGGTAAACCTTTAAGTCCCAAACTAGCCCTGCGTGCCTTCCCAATGTTGAGACATTGGCCAGTAAGGTATGTGCGTGGCAGCGGAAGAAAATGGATTCTCAGACTGGAACAGAAAGTCTTCATGCATCAGATTGTGCAAAAGAAGGGCTTCGAGCCAGGGCTTTCTTTGAAGGCGGAGTTCGCAGACAACGAATTATGGGTTGAGATGTTGCCTAAGTAATAATATAGTAGTTTCCATTATCTCTTCATTTATCCCTATATATTAACCGCAATAATATACCTGGGGATCTTGTTATAATATACCCCAGCGACTTAATCGATGTCTGTTACGAGGCCAAAGCTCTGCTTACAGTCCCCCTACTTGGCCGCTCCAGCTATGGACGCCCTAAACCCTAAACCCCCCAACACCAAGCCGGGTTGGTTGCGAGAGGTTGGTTCAAGCAGGCTAAAAGCAACACATATCTTGTCAGACTGTCTTTTTGAAATTCCTGCAAAACAAGTATCCTTGGCGAGATAGGGCTATGTGGGTGGGATCACGGGTACCTGGAGAAACTTCCAGACTCTGCTTCTGCATAAATCGACGCTGGCCAAACCCCTTTACAGGGGT